AGGGTACCACATAAAGTGGCAACCTAAAACCCAACCTCCAACGACCATGCCTGACAACTCCTTTTACAACAATATGTCCAGCATCATCCCACAAGACCCGAAAGATTGATATAAATATTTGTCTTCAAACTATCTTGTCCCCATGATTTCTCCGGCAGGACCTGGGTGTCTCTTAAATAGGACCGTTTAACGGTTATCCGTTTGGTTTCCCTGAAAAACCGCCAAAGAAGGGATACTCGCAAACAGGACACATCAGAAGGGAGTCTAAGGAGTTTTGATAATTTACGAATACTCTGCCACTATCATGAGGAAATATGCTCAATTGGGGCTTGGAAATCATCGGACCTGGACCTGGAGGGGCTATCCCAGCTGAGGACAAGCCAAGCAACCCTGAATACGTAGTCCTTTTGATCGATGAGTTTAATTAAAAATAGATGGATTCCACCTAGAGATTGGGTTGAACCATTTACCAGAAAAAGAAAAAGAAAAAAAAACAAACAAACAAAAAAACACATATCATTGCTAAAAACAACAGAACTATGCCTAGCGGATCCCAGTTGCCCCAAACTCACCGTTTTCCTTTGAGCTTCTGGAGATTTCCGGGCCTTATTCCCGAACCTATAGGGAAACGACCCATAGCCATCCAACACCAAGTTGAAGGATCTTTTGACCCTTTGTCAAGTGGGTCCACTAAAACGCTTGGCTTCCTTTCGTTTCTCTTCAAATACCAACCACACTTTTGGGCCTCCAGTGGATCCTGACTTTTTCCATGTCGCACCGCGGTTCAGAGACCCCAGAATGCTGCCTCCCCTGCAAATACCGTAGCAAACGTTGTGGTTTCGACCATCGTGTCTCTCTGATGGTGCGAACGGACTTCGCAACCATCAGCATGGAGGCCCAAAATGCCACCCAACACAGTCAAAATGCGCCTTTCGGCCTTGGCACCCCGGCCAGTACTTCTGTGTCCGATACCCGCCAGCTGCCACGAAGTTCCAGAACTCCCCTCGGAGAAAGCCGACTTCGATCCGGGTCACAGTGACCGGCGCCCGAGCTGACTGTTGGATCTACTTGTATGGTCACCAAGGTATTTTTTGGGCCCCAACTCAACACCCCAAACCAGATACCACCTACATAAACGACCAATTGGAATCGGTTTTGGGCGTGCCGCATGGCAAAGGAGTTGACAGCGAATCGGTAAGGTAGCTTCTAGCGGCCTTTAAAACTACCCGAAACATTTAAAGGAGCAAAAGTATCATTGAACTGCAGATTCTACCTGAGCCAATCAAAATAGGCAAAGAAGACTGTGGAGAGAATCCTGCACCAGCTGGGATGGACCCCATGAATGGGACGAGCCACCAACCCCCCACAATCCCCTCTGGTACGAAGTGGATTTGGATCAGGGATGTTACGACACCCCCTTCGTGCTTTTGAACGCCGACGGTCTTCACCCGCCGATTTGCCGCAAACAAATACCGAAACCCGGGCAATTGAGCCCAAGTTGCACCTTCTGGCCTTGCTTCATGGTGAGTCCCTTTTGAAATTAGGGTGATGTTGTTAAGTAGGAAAAAATGTGGACTTTTCGGTGGGCATTCTTTTGAGGTTCCCATTAAAATCATAGCCATACCCTCTCTCCCACTGACATGGCACCTGCCAGGCAATCCCTGCAAGAGGAAACTGATCCTAGGTCTCCACAGGTGCCATGAAGCCACAAGAAAAAAAATATGTGCCATAATGGAAATCCAAATCCCCCAAAAAACGGCAACCCATGGCCCGAGCACGAGGACGCGGCCGTTGGAGATCATGTACTTGCTGGCCTCGAAGTCTGGCACCTGCCACTTGCCCAACTCTTGAAATATGTTAACAGGGCCGCTTTAGGGGCATACTGTGGATGGTTGCCAAAATGCGTTCGCTCCACAAAATGAAACCATGGTTGAAACCATTGCTTTTTGGTACTCAGGAAGAAATCACAATTTCTGGGTTTCTTAGGTGCAGAATTTCGTCCATCCACACTATGGATGGACAAGATGCTGAGGCATGGATGAAACGGGATAAACCGCCTACCAACTGATGCAGGACTTTATGAAAACACACACACACACACACACGCACACATGAAACCAGGCGGTTCAACGCTTTGACAACCCTTCATGCAAGAGGCCCTATTGGTCATGGAAAACTGGGCGCTATAAACTCTATGAAACCCTCTAGAAAAAGGAAACACCGCAGGCTTGCGAGTGTGAGATCTTTACGGGCATATCATGCATAGGCTTCTGCAAGTGGCTACCTCTTGCTGCAACCACCTGCTACATCGTTAGAAAGGTCTTGTGGGGTACTTTGAACCCATACGGGTCTGTCCTTCCTTTGGGGACCCCTCAAAAATGATGGTTCTCCTTGTTGTCTCCATTTAACACCATCCCAAAACAGTAGCGGCAAAGTATTCGTAAATCTTATGCCTGCTGCAATCCCTTATAGTTTTTTAAGGGTAGCCCTTCTTTGCTGTTAAGGGAAGCCAAAAGGAACACCATACGAACACCGTTGCGCCATGTTTGGGGGGTCCAGAACCTGTCTTAAGACCCATTGCTAGAGGCCACCTGATGCAAACCTTTGGCCGATTCGATTCGATGGCCTCCACCGCACGGTGCCCGTACTCGTTGTCCCAGCCGTAGCTGGGGAAGTCGCGAGGCCTTCGGGCAGCTCCGCCCAGGCAGCCAGAGGGCCGGTGATTTTTTGGGGGGTGGACTGGAAATGAAAACCATTTGCCGGGAAACTAAAAGGTCCAGATTTCGGTTATTCATTTTCAGGTTATGCATATTGTTGCTTGGTTTTAGAGGAAACCAAAAGGAAGACCGGAAAAAGGCACACCCAGTTTGGACCCCTGGGCAATAGTCAAAACTCGAACTCCCCTACTTCCCTCAATCAAATAACATCAACAGCACTTGCTTGAGAATTATGTGGTCAAAGGTGCTCCATGTCCTTCCAACCCTCAAGCTATTCGAGTCGTTTGAAAGGCGATGGCACACCTCTCAGGCTATTCAAAACCCACGGAATCTCCCAGGCTCTGGGAAGACAATGTTCCTCAAGAGATCCTGGTGGGCTTCTTAGGGAAGGCATCTCTCTCGCAACAAGGTTTCCTATAGTCCCTCGTCCCTTTCAAGCATCGCTTTCATCAAGGCAAACTCTCCTTAGGGCCAAACAGGTGTTCAAAAGCCAAGGATATGTGCCCAAATAGGGCGCGCAAAATGGATGTCGGTGTTCCTTCTCGCTTCCTTTTGGACCAACCTGAAAAGTTACCTTTTGCCTCGTTGGGGTCGATAAAGGACAGGATTCCCCAAAGAAACCACGTGCTGAAACGAAGCGTTCGGATCTTCGAAATCAGCAAAGAGTTGGGCGCTTTTCTAAGCGTATAATTACCAGTTAGAAGTAAGTAGGTAAGCCTTCGCCTACCCCTTTTGCCGCGGTTTGAGAGGGGAACTAAAAGGAAAGCCACAGCCATGTTTGAGGCCTTTAAAGGCATGGGAAAGCCCTCTGTCGCCATGGAATCACTCAGCTCCGACTAAGGCCTTGACTTGCCAAGTCGGACAGTCTCACCCTGAACCTTCAGCATCTCGTTCTTTGGGAAGTCCTCCGAATTTTTGAGCGCGGTTTGCATCCGCAGCCCAGTGATTCGATTTCTCACGTCACGACGTGGATGGTTCCCTGGCAGTGCCATGGTTGCAGTTGACCCCTCTGCAAAAGTTTCACAGCTTGTGAGTTTAGTGGAAAACCCAGTTGACTTCCCAAAAAGTTAAAGTAAGATCCAACCCAATAAGCAGTCAAGGTGCTGGACAATATGCACCAATTGGAATGGTAGTCACCTTCCCAGGCCACTGCTGAGGGCTGTTGACCCCTCTGCAAGTTTATAACTTGTTGTGGGTCCCATTCGGCAAATCCGTCCTGTTTCAACCAAGAAGTTAAAGTCCAAAGATCCAACCAAATCGCCATAAAGAAGAACATATGTTGCCATCCTGGTTTTGAAGGTAACCAAGAGAACCACCCCAAATAGAACAACCAAGAGGAAATGGCTGGTCACTTACTATCCACTGGGTTGAGTTTGCCAGGCAAAAGTAATATCTCTCCTTCTCTCTCCTTGTCTGCTTCTCCCTCCCTCTCTCTCGCTCTCCTTGTCTCCCCTCTCTCTCTCTCTCACTCTCTCTCTCTCTCTCGCTCTCTCTCTCTCTCTCTATCCTTTTTGCAAATAGCGCTTACCACCGCCATGTGCTGTCTTTCCTTGAAAGCCACGGCATGCCAAGAGTTAGATCTGCCAACGTCTCGGACGCGGAGATCGGTTCATCGCTTGCGCTCGGCAAAATATACTTCGTTCATCAGGCCTGCTCCAAAGACCATGGGACTAGGGGGACCCCCCCAAGCACCACCCGTTTGGAAAAACTAAAATGGACAGAGGTGTCGCTGGGGTGTCCAAGGAAAAGTTCCACGATACATGGCCTCTGATGAAACCATCAAAAGGAAGCAGCAACCTCCCGAACAACTGCTTGGTGGAGGCTATCGGGCCCTGATTTGCAGGTTTCTGGACCAGGTAGCCTCTTGCAATTGGGTGTCTCTCTTTTAGGGGACCCCAAAACAATGGCATTGGTGTTCCATTTGGCTTCCCCTTCAAGCCACAAAAAGGGGCACCCTCAAAAAGACATATCCAAATGCCCTCTGATAGAGCTCAAAGCAACCAAACCAATTTCTACACCGACGCTTGGCGGGCTCGGAGCATCCTGCATGGCATATTTCATGTGGTTGCCGTATGGCCTTTGCCAGTTACAGCTTCCGGCAAAACTTCGGGGTGAAACAAACCGACGGTCGTCGCGACACCACAGTATTGCTCCGAATTCGACCGAATCGATCAGCAACTATTTACTTGGTGCACTGGTACCCTTTTTACCTGGAAGTTTTAAAAGGAAAGCGTTCTCCTTCCAAAACCCTCCTGTGCACTTCTATGATCGTCGAGTGTAAATCTTGCGGTTTCATCTTTTGGCTCGAAGCAACCCTGTCTCACCTTTGCAATGCGCAATTATATCTATTCAGGATTCAGCAAGCCCATCTTGGTAGAACTGGTAGGCCTTCTCGAGATCTCGGGTCTCCTGCTTCGTGGCTCTAATATGCCGGAACCTCAGCCGCTACGCTCGGAGGCGAGTGTTCGCATCCCAAACTGCAGCGCCCATGCTAGACCCCCAAAGCCATGGTCTCAACCCAAACCTGAAAACAGAACGTACTTTCCAGGTGTGAACAAATTTGAGGATGTGCTAGAAGAACTGGCCCTCTGGCAAATGTAGCTTAAAGCGGTGCGCTCTTTGAACTTGACCTCCAGAAACTGTCAAATAGTGGCACCCAAGAGGAAACTCCATGGCGTATTGGATCACGGGGACATGTCGAAACCTGTCAACGGGCACTTGTTCTTCGGAGCTGAAAAGGGGCGCCGTTTTTTGGTTCGCCTTCTAGGCATGCTCCCAACCTTCCCATGGGCCAAGGTCGCCTTAAGGCCTTGGAAAACCCATCCTCATCCTATGGTGTTTATAAGTTGTCATTTGTTTCGTTCCAAGAAGCAGCCCCAAAACGTCAAAACCTTCCCCTCACCACAACAAGCAGCCGGACATTTGATGTTTTGCCACCCACTCCAACATGTTTGCCCATGTCACCGTTTCTTGGCGTTCCATCATGTTCTTTGCAACGTTCTCGCATTTTTTGTCAACGCTCAGGAGATTCCCCGCCACTGGCATCACAAGCAATCCCACACACACGCACGCACACACGCACGCACACACACACACGCACGCACACACGCACTACCCCAATATTTCTGTCCCCACAATTTTCCTGCGGATGTCGACTTGCTTCCCAAGTTCCTGCGTTTCATAATCCTAAAAAATTGGACAAGTCTAGTGGTCAGAACCTTCATACGGCCATGGTTCAAAATCCCGTACCCCCAGTGAGAATTCCAATCCCCACAAAAATAAGTTCTTAAATGGGTGGTGAATTCACCTACCCCAAAATGGGATCCCATTGGTTTTGACCCACAGCCATAGTCCACGTGCGTTTCGCCGGGCCAAACTGAATGCAGAGACTTGTTGACTAATGGGCGAGGGCCAGCCTCTTTTAGGCGACTGCCATGTGCGCTTGCTGAGTGGGATGAAGTGAGGTTCAGATCACCATGGAATTAGATGCAACCCCCACATTTATCCATTAGCGGGGTGCAAATCATGATGGAATCAGATTTCCCCAAATAAATCCACGTGCAACACCATTAGGAAGCAGTACTTGCAGAGTTGCTGAACAGCTGTGAAGTGACCGTCTTGTTTTTATTGTTATTATTATTAGGGATGATAAGGCTTCCGCTAAACCGGCAGTGGCTTTGTCTCTCTTGAGGGTGCGTGAGTGTAGCGTAAGCCCCCCTGTGGCAGGGAACGACCTTGTTTTGCCGTGAAGCCCCGTGAAATGTGCTTCAAACAGCGGTTTGTTGAGGCTCGCTTGGCCAGGGTTTCAACTCTTACAAAAAAAAGGGAAGCTCGCCAACCGGTCCAAAAGGTGATGCTTCAACCCCCCTCCCTTAAAGGGCAATCAATCTTGGGACCCCTCTGTCCGCGTCTTGTTGTTGCAACCCGTTCGGTGAAAAAGATGACATTCTCGTTTCGAAGCCGCGGCGCGATGAGTTCTCGAAAACCTGCTCCACTGTCAAGCCGTCGTTACCCGGCATGACGTCTTGCAAAGCTTTAAGCACCTCTTCCAACAGCACCTTCCAAGGTGTTGCGCAAAATAATGCACAACTTGGATTGGGGAGCAACTCCCGAGGTGTTGCAAAAACGCGAACTTTGAGCCTAGCGATTCCAGTTCCCTAGATAGGTAACCAAGGGAACTGTCCAGTAAAAGCTCTGGGGGGGAACTGGGATCTGGGGAGGAAGGGTTGCCTTTGGTTAGCTCTGGCTTTCAGGAACCCAAGCCCCGAGCCAAAGGTCGTGATCGACCTTAGGTTGAATGGAAAAGCCAGTTGTTCCAAGAGGTCGGGGCCAAGGTTCGAAGAGCCATGTTGGATGGGGAGTTTCAGGTTGCCAACTTTGGTTACCTCTCAATGCTTTCAGAGGGGAACCCAGTTGATTCAATTTCCCGGATAGTCCCGGTTTGGTTTTGGGCCACGATTTTTCACCAAGCCTCCGCGCAGATTGGGTGCAACCCATTAAATCGGTTTAACAAAGGGGGGGGGTCCATTTTGAGAGGGGGGGGCAGTTTCATCCGCGAAAGGGCTGCGACCATGGCCTGGCTATTCTCATGACCTCTTTGTTTCTCACAAGGGCCGCTGGCCCAAGGCGGGGACCTAAACTCCAACTTCCAACGACCATAGGAGAACCGAGCTGACTCACACACCCCAGAGGGTGGATTAGTCTGAGAAACCAGCTCAAAACGCGAAGCAAAACACAGGTCCTTTGGCGGGTGTTTGGTTAGATTCCTGGAGATACGTCTGGAGCTGCTTTCGATTCCAAACGGGACACCCTGCTGCGCGATTTTGATTGGGGGAGTTTCCATTGGGTGTCCAACCCACTCAGGGCAAAAGGTCAAAAAATCGCCTTCGGTGAGTTTGTGGTGGCACCGTCGGTCGACCAAGCAAGCGTAGGAAATTGAGGGCAATGCGGTTGGCGCAACAAATCTTACCAGACACAACCACGAGCCTTACCCTGGCTACTTCTTGACCATGAATCTTCCCAGCTTCTCTTGCTCAACGTTCAACCCCAAATGGATCGAATTATGGTCAGGGCAAAGATCCAACATATCCTAAACGGGGACCCCGGGTTCTATGTCAGGAGGATATCAAACGTCCCTCACAAAGAATTAGACCAACCTGTGAAAAGCAAGTCTGAAGCTTCTGAGGTGATGGTTGGCCAAGGAATAAAACGCCCTTCCGCATAGATGTCGCTTTTGGAGAACACATGGCCCTAGATGATTTCGCCCACCAAATACACCAGGAATCGCCCCCTATTTTTCAACCGAACCAGGCAAACAGGACATACTTAGACCCTGGGGGGTGAAAGGCTTTTGTACACATTCCGTTGCATGAACATCCTTAAGGCCTGCGAACCTCAGGACATACCCGGCCTCCATTTTGGTTTCGATGCGCCAAATGTCCAAAGCCTTTGCATTGCCACGGAGCCTTGCCGCACCTTCGATGAACTCCATGAGCCTCGGCGTGGATCGGGAGCGAGCCCCGCCCACTCACGAATGGAGCGCCATTCCAAGGTGAAAGCGCGACTCCATTTACTTGGTGTTGTTGGCAACCAAGGGAACCACCCAATTGAAAACGCAGAATTGCAAAATTGTTTAATTACTCTAGAAGGAAGTGGGATCCGTGGGCTAGGTAACACGCCAATTTCTCGATGATTTTTTCTATTGGGTGGGAAGCCCTTGGTTGCCTACGAAACCAGCTAAGTGGAATCACTGGACCCAACCATCTCATAACTTGGCTGTTTCTGCGCCCTACACGAATCGGGACATCTGGGTGGCTTCAACTTTTCATATTCTTCCCCTTTCAACCACCCAACATGGAATGTTCAGACACACCCACCACCCTTCATTAGTTTGACCCAGTTCCTCTTCAATCTACCCTTCAACTCAACGGAGGCGCGTGATTTCTCCGTCTCCATTGTCCAAAAACTCGAAGAGGCTGAGCAAGTCGTGATATTCCAACTCCAACTGGCTCATCCAAAACTTCAGTTTTGGAGATTGCACCAGCTTCGAAAACTCCTCCAAGTTGATTGCGCCATCTCCAGAGTCGTCGATGGTTTGAAAGAGGCGCTTCACTTTTCGAGTGTACCTCGCAAAACGTGGCGAGAAAACACACACACACAGACACACACACACAGAGACACACACAGACGCACACAGACACACACACAGACACACACAGACACAGACACACACACAGACACACACACACAGACACACAGACACACACACACAGACACACACACACAGAGACACACACACACACAGAGACACACACAGACACACACACAGCCACTCACACACACAGACACACACGACACACAGAGACACACACACACACACAGACACACACAGACACACAGACACACACACACAGACACACAGAGACACACAGAGACACACAGAGACACACAGAGACACACCGAGACACACAGAGACACACAGAGACACACAGACACACACAGAGACACACAGAGACACACCGACACACACAGAGACACACACACAGAGACACAGAGACACACACAGAGACACACAGAGACACACACACAGACACACACAGACACACACAGACACACACAGACACACCCAGACACACACACACACACCTCAACTCCCAAGGGAGGATGCTAATCGTTCGAGTACAACTGATGAGTCTCGAGTGGGTGTAGGTTCGGCTTGCATTCACTTGGTTTCCGTCGAGCAGCGAACACGTTACCCGAAAGAACAAGAAGCACAAACAGCGCCGCAACCAAGGGGCCAAATAGACATTTACAAAACTGGCGCAGGTACACATCACGGCGTCCCTTGATGCATCCAGTCATCCTCGATAGCTTCGTTGGCGTGGCTACGAGGAGACCGCCACGCCCCCTGCGGTAAGTGGTGGCAGGGTATTCTGCCACTCCGCACACACACACAGACACACACAGACACACACAGAGACACACACACAGAGACACACAGAGACACACAGACACACATAGAGACACACAGAGACACACAGAGACACACAGAGACAAACAGAGACACACAGACACACATAGAGACGCACAGAGACACACAGACACACAAACACACACAGAGACACACACAGACACACACAGACACACAGAGACACACACAGACACACACAGAGACACACAGACACACACAGAGACACACAGACACACACAGAGACACACAGAGACATACAGAGACACACCGAGACACACAGAGACACACAGAGACACACAGACACACACACAGAGACACACAGAGACACACCGACACACACAGACACAGACACAGAGACAAGAGACACACAGAGACACACAGAGACACACACACAGACACACACAGACACACACAGACACACCCAGACACACACACACACACCTCAACTCCCAAGGGAGGATGCTAATCGTTCGAGTACAACTGATGAGTCTCGAGTACAACTGATGAGTCTCGAGTGGGTGTAGGTTCGGCTTGCATTCACTTGGTTTCCGTCTAGCAGCGAACACGTTACCCGAAAGAACAAGAAGCACAAACAGCGCCGCAACCAAGGGGGCCAAATAGACATTTGCAAAACTGGTGCAGGTACACATCAAGGCGTCCCTTGATGCATCCAGTCATCCTCGATAGCGTTGGCGTGGCTACGAGGAGACCGCCACGCCCCCTGCGGTAAGTGGTAGCAGGGTATTCTGCCACTCCGCACACATTTGAGGGGCGAGAATCACTTTTTCGGGGGGGAAAAGCACGCGCCCCAAACCGGGCGAAGACCCCAACAGAAAACAAACGGAGCAAGGAACCCAAAAGAAACAGAAAGGCCCCAGGTTGGGTCTCCGCGGGCAAAACTCCAAACAAGAAACAAGAACAACGGGGAAGCCAGGTTTAGGGTCACCGAGGGCAACAACCCCAAACAGCGCAAAACGACCTAGACCTTGTAGACGAAAGGGGCCGCGAAGGTCAAGAGGCAGAAGGGGAACAGGCCATCCCTAACCGGGCGAACAGGAAGTACAAGAAGGAGCCCAGAGAGGGAAAGAAAAAGAAAAGAAAAGAAAAGAAAAGAAAAGAAAGGAAAGGAACGAAAGAAAGAAAGAGAGAGAGAGAGAGAGAGACAGAAAGAAAGACAGAAAGAGAGAGAGAAAGAGAGAGAGAGAGAGAAAGCGTATTTAGGGCGTCGCAACCGCCCGGGGGAAAAAGAAAGGAGCAGGGGTGCATATTTAGGGCGCCGCATCCCGCCCGGGAAAAAGAAAAACGGAGAGAGAGGAGGAGGAGAGAAGGAGAAGGGAACAGGAGAAAAGAAAAAGAAAAGAGAGAAGGAGAGAAGGAGGGATAGTGTGCGTATTTAAGGCGACGCATCCCGCCCAGAGAATCACGAGGACAAAGCCAATGCTCGAGGAAGAGGGCGTCGAATCCCGCAGAGGGGCCATGAGGAAGAGCACGATGAAGCAACGGTAGGGGACGAAGACGGCAAGCCAAACAGCACGAGGGGACCGAGGAGCACGAGCAAATAGGCAAACAAGAAGAGGACAACGACGAAAAGGGCAAACAACGCGGCAGAGAAGAAGCCAACCCTAAACGGGCCAAGAGAAAGAAAAGCAACACGCGGATGACGGAAGGCAGGAAGAAGGAACGGGAGGAAGGAGAAGCCATCCCTAAGCGTGCGAAGTGGCTGAAGACATACGCGTGGTTGACGAAGGCGAGAAAAGGTGAGACGTAACTATGATCTGGTGGCTGTCTTCCCTTTAGTGAAACCTTGTTCCTGCTTGAACGTGAAATTTCGCTGGTCTATGATAAGAACGTTGAGGTCAAATTTTCAGGCGAACCGGCCCGGGGTCACACGATGGGTACACCCGAGGTTCCCCCAAGATGGGGTGATCACACTTCAACTCCCAATGGAGGATGCTAACCGTTCGAGTACAACTGATGAGTCTCCAGTACAACTGATGAGTCTCGAGCGGGTGTAGGTTCGGTTTGCATTCACTTGGTTCCCGTCTAGCAGCGAACACGTTACCCGAACCGCAACCAAGGGGGCCAAATAGACATTTGCAAAACTGGTGCAGGTACACATCAAGGCGTCCCTTGATGCATCCAGTCATCCTCGATAGCTTCGTTGGCGTAGCTACGAGGAGACCGCCACGCCCCTGCGGTAAGTGGTGGCAGGGTATTCTGCCACTCCGCACACACACACACAGACACACACACACAGACACACACAGACACACACAGACACACCCAGACGCACACAGAGACACACAGAGACACACAGAGACACACACAGACACACACAGACACACAGAGACACACAGAGACATACAGACACACAGACACTCATAGAGACACACAGAAACACACACAAACACACACAGAGACACACACACACAGACACACACAGACACACACACACACAGACACACATAGAGACACACAGAGACATACAGAGACACACAGACACACATAGAGACACACAGAGACACACAGAGACACACAAACACACACAGAGACACGGACACACAGAGACACACAGACACAGACACACAGAGACACACACACACACACAAACACACACAGAGACACACAGACACACACAGAGACACACAGACACACACAGAGACACACAGAGACACACACACAGACACACACACACACAGACACAGACACACAGACACAGACACAGAGACAAGAGACACACACAGGCTTACACACACACACATACACTACACACACACACCAATCCCTGGTGTGCCCAGAAATGTGTTGGACTTCTCCGAATGGTTGTTCTTTTGGATTCCTTTGACTCCCCATGAGCCGCTCAAAATCTATGGTGTTGTAAGCAACCTCCATTTCCTGAATGCTGTTCAAAGATGACTAAAGTGTATTGACCCTGAAGTAAATTCTACCACTTGGTGCAGGAGGTCGGCCATCCCAAAACCCTGCGCATGGCACATCTGCACGTCCTTCTCCTTCTGCTTGAAGGCCAGCTCCTCATCGGAGGCTGCAGTCTTCATGGTCTGCTGGACAAAGACTGCATTTACCTCAGAGCTTGTGTGTAAACGTTGATACCAAGCGAATTGGACAAGGACATGGGCCAGCCGAAGCTGATCCACCCACCCAAACAAGGGAACTCAAGCCTCAAGCAAGACATCGAGATTGCCCACCCACCAAACTAGGGGGAAAGAAACAACCACCACCCCCAAAAACGACCAACAAAAACCACACGACCGCAGAGGCCAGTCGCAGCATGAAGCCAAGCGCAAACGAAGGTCGAATCGCCGCAGCCACTCATAGAGAAGGGCCATGAGCCGCACGCCAAATTAATGGCCTTCTGAGCATGGACCAACCAACCATGAACAGCGAACATGTCCGCATCTTGCCCGTCGATCACCCGCCCGAAGAGAGACGAAAGGAACTCGCCAGGTCGGGAGGGGCATGTCCACACAATGTCATCGACCGTGCCAAGCTCACAACATCTCTGCCAGCGCTGGCAGGCCCCAACCGAACTGCAAACGGAAATGGGGCCAGCCGAAGCTGACACAGGCAAGGGCAATCGCTCAAGCCCCAAGCAATCGAGATTGACCAGACCACCAACCAATCGGGAATCCGAAAGGAAAAAAACAATCACAACAACCAGCGCAACCATTAACCACACGAGAAAGACCGGGCGAAAAGGCGCCCGGCTTGAGGAGGGCCACCCTTTTGCAAAACATCTGCGCGAAAACGATCAAGCCAACCATGCGTGTGTGCATACACATTACTCTACTTTTAACATCTTTTGACTACATTACATACAGCTATGGGAAACTAGGTTTTGGAAAAAAGAACCATATATAGATACTGGTTCATTGTCTTGGTTCCTGGGCGCTCAGGCGCCGTCCGAGCAAAGTTGACATGATAATTTTGCTGGGCGCGTCTCCAACACACGCCGCCGGGTAATCAATGCCAAGGTGCCACGTTTAACACGGCGAAGCCCAAGACACAACGATACCTTGGGACAACTCTGGGGCACAACACAAAAATGGCTTGGACTACGCTTCGGGTTTTGCAAACCTAAAAATAAAAACTGCCCTGAGCAGACCCCAGGTACAGCAAGAAGAAAACGGAGAACCACTCGCTGAAGTTTTCGATCAAGACCCGGCAAGGTGGGCCCCAGTTGGCAAACAAGATCTCAAACATCGTCAGCAGCGTCCTTGTGAATGTGCCATAGTAGCGAAACACTTCGTCCTCAGCTGCAAGTTGGACACTATGTAGTTCATGAGACAATGTATATACGTGTCCAACAAAAAGGGCCCCGGCCACAAATGCTTGGCATTGTCTTGGAAATCCCCGACAACAGACTGCGTGCTGGGTCGACACTCACTTGTTTCCCCTCCCAGTACCCCTTCCGGGGGAATGTGCCACTGGGTGATAGGTCCCCTTTCGTAGACTAGTCCTTTCCACATGAAGAGGATGCGGGACACAGCTGTGTAAAAATGTTGGGGTGTCCGGTGTCCGAAGTGAAATGTCTTACTTGTGTCTTGTGAGAGCGTTTCCTAAATGACCGAGGAAATTGCAAACAAGCACCTATAGGCAAAATCAGCGAGAGAAAGGACCATGAAACAAGCTCAGGTGATATCCCCAACAGCATGCGGTGCTCTTCTTAGTGCTCGCACCACCCCGCAGCCCTCGCAGAACTTCGTGGAACCCTCGTAGAAACATGGTGGAACCCTGGTGGAACCCTCGTGGAACCCTACCTCAGGGCCGCCCCGCACCACCCCGGAGCCTATCTGGGCTGAAACCCCAAAGCCTTCAGCTGTTAGGGAAAAAGGGAGGCAAACAAAAAGTCCCTGCAGCCTTTCCCAAAAGACAGGGCAAGTTGCAAACAAAACCTACACGTATCCTCATCTAGGATGCGACAACATGAACAAACAAAGGCAAACTACAGGCCCCTTTTCAAGTCCTGCGGGAGCCTTTCCTAAACAAGGAAAGCAAACAAGAGAATCAGCAGCATCAGCGGGACAGACCTGGATTGCATCAGTAGCACCCACATCCATCGCTTCCAGGGACCAGTCCCAAAATCTACCGAGGAGTTTGCAAACAAACAACATCAATCAACAACACCCCCAGCTTGGGAGAAGAACTTGAACAAACGGAGGCGAAGCAAAGGCCCCTACTTAAGTTGTGGAAAAGCGTGCGAACCAAAACAATAAGCTCAGGCGATATCCCCAACAGCACCACACCCGCCCCGGGACCCACCTCACCGCCGGTTTTGCATGAAGCAAAACTAAGAGTGATCGGGGCCCGGCGGCACAATCGGGGCCCGATCGGGCCGACGGCCGAATCGGGGCCCGATCGGGGCCCGACTGCGCAATCGGGGCCCGATCGGGGCCCGATGGTGCAATCGGGGCCCGAGCGGGGCCCGACGGTGCAATCGGAGCGGGGCCCGACAGTGTAATCTGGGCCCGATGGTCCCGTGGCGCAAGCGGGCTCCCACCAACCCCAGCCACCCATATTATAGCTGAAAGCCGGTTTTGCTGTAGGGTGCGGCCTTACAAGTGTATCTAGCAAAACTAGGCTTGGTAGTTGATGGGGCCCGATCGGGCCCGATCGGGCCCCGACGGTGCAATCAGGCCCCGACCTTCCCGACTGGGCCCGGTGAACCTCGCAGATCGTTCTCGTGGAACCCTCGTGGGCTCAGCGTGAAACTTTGTTGGAACCTTTCCTCAGAGCAGCCCCATAGCTTTTGCAGAACCTCGCAAAAACCTCGTGGAGCGCTTTTGGAATTTTATTCCGTAGGCCTCACAGCCTCGCGGAACCCTTGGAACCCAAAGCCCACCAAGTAGTACCCAGTAATGCCAAGCATTTACCCTGCTACACAGTGAGTTTGCCACAAAGCCAACGCGTTGCTTGAGCAAGTGAGCAAGTGACAAAACAGTGAAAGTGTGCTGAAAACCATTGATTTCGGTTTTGCTTAGTGTTCCACTCATGAGCAAAGCGATCTTCAATTTACTGCTCCGATGGCTTTTCACACGGTGGGCGCACGACACATTGCTTCCTTGCAGAACATTTGTGGAACTTGTGGAGCGTTGTGGGGCCTTGTGACCCTTGTCGAATCCTTGCGGAACTGCTGTGAAACCCTTACCTCAGCCACAGCCCGTGGAACCCCATGGAAGCCCCGCAGCCTTGCTAGAACCTGGTAGAACCCTCATGGAACCTTACCTTGCAGAACCTGGTGGAAGTTTGGAACCTTGTGGAACCTTACCTCAAAGCGCCCCGCAGCCCTTGCAGAACCCGTCGGAACCCTGGTGGAACCTTCCTGGAACCTTAGCACGACTTTACCTCAAACCACCCCGGACCACCCCGCAGCCCTCGCAGAACCTGGTGGAACCCTGGTGAAACCCTCGTGGAACCAGACCTCAAACCACCCCGGACCAGACCGCAGCCCTCGCAGAACCCGGTGGAACGCTGGTGGAACCCTCGTGGAACCTTACCTCAAACCACCCCAGACCATCCCCAGCCCTTGCAGAACCTGGTGGAACCCTCGTGGAACCCTCGTCTCGTGGAACCTTACCTCAAACCACCCCGGACCACCCCGCAGCCCTTGCAGAACCTGGTGGAACCCTGCAGGAACCCTCGTGGAACCTTGCCTCAAACCACCCCGACCACCCCGCAGCCCTCGTAGAACCTGGTGGAACTTACCTCAAACCACCCCGGACCACCCCGCAGCCCTCGCAGAACCTGGTGGAACTCTGGTGGAACCCTCGTGAAACCCTCGTGGAACCTTACCTCAGGGCCGCCCCGGACCACCCCGGAGCCTATCTGGGCTGAGACCCCAAAGCTTTCAGCTGTTGGGGAAAAAGAAGCAGGAGCGAGAACAAGCATCTGCAGGACAGAACCTGACTACGCCACTTACAAAAACCTTTCCAAGAAGGGAAGGTTACAAGCAAAAACAAGACGCATCCAAGACCCCTGCTCACGTCCTGTCGGGGCCGCTCCCTAGGAAAGAATGCAAAACTTGATTGCATTCGTAGCATCCATCACACGCAGCTTCTTTACTGTTTCCGCTACGAGCGCTGCACGTGTGATCCACATGTAAGAAAACGATTCCCCCCCCCCCCCCCCTCCCCACCCATCTCTGCTCATTGCCATTGCTGTCCTGAAGAGACACAAGATAACCAGGCCAAACAAAAGGCCCTTCCCAAATCAAGTTTCTCCTGCGCACATGCACTGTACCTAAAGCCACATATACAAACGCGGGCTGTAATGTCGGCCGTCTGAGCCGGAGGCGTTAAAGTATCATCAACCACGTGCCAAATAGCGCCAATAAATTAGCAAGCCTCGCGCAGAGCAATGTCGTAGTTGGGGTCAAGGACAAAGTCTCTACACAAAGTGCTGACAATCAAGCCGGCCACGCACTGCACAAAGGTCAGCAGGCAAAAACTCCAGAAGAGCATATTGCAGCCTCAGATCTGGCGCACCTCTTGCGGTTCAATGCTCCGGCGGCACAGGACCGATGGAAGCCAGGAATTTCAAGGAGTCACGTAGGACTTTTTGATCCCCTCGTTCAGAAACAGTTAGAGCATGCAAGGATCCCTGACAAAGGGCCCTGACAACCGTTTGCGGGGTCAACCAGCTGTTTAAACCATGGTTTGAAGACGAATTCTTGTTTAAACAACCTCATTCACGATTTGGCGTCGAAGAAAGGGCTCTGTAGTCTGTTGAGGGTATCCTTTCCAGCTTGGTGAATTGGATGCTTGGTCAAACTTGCCGACCGCTCTGGTTGCCCCTGGCCCAGCCCGCGCAAGATCCATGCGCTACAGACGTGTCAAAGGGGCTCAGGGGAAAGCTTCACCATGGAGGTGTCAACCCGCCAAACCGCGAATTTCGCCTTTCACCCAACCCGGCTTTTCCTTTCAAGGGGTAGTTTTTGCCAAAGCCTTCCGTACTGATTCACGACATCCTGCACCAGTCGTAGATGGCTTTTTTCCCATTCACAGGTTGCTTGATCCAGGTTTCTTCTATCCCAAGTGGTGCGAAATGGAATTCGTCCATGCACAGTATCTACCTTTTTGGGATGGCTTGAAAAGGAAACCAGCAGGAAACACACATTAAATAGTTTGGGGGTCCACTTTAAAAACAGAAACAGCCAGTTGTTTTTCACTGGCCATCAGCCCCGTTTCGAAGGCAGCCAGTTGGAGCTGCTGCATCCACATTTGGATTTCGAGGAAGCCCCTATAAAAGGCGCCTTGTGGAAGGGAAATCGACAGAAGCGCTCGGGGTCCTTGGGTCTTTGAAATGGAAAATCCCGCACAAAAAATCCTTCCAACGACCATCGGACTTAAGGAAGCACCACAAACGGATTCGCCCGCGGCCAATTTGGCTTCTTGCAAAAAGCAATCGTTGAAGGATTCCAACCAAAATATCAAGCATAAATTGTCCTAACATAGACTCCGGCTTCTCTTGTTCGGGGCTTCCAAACGTTTCAATTCCTCCATTTAGATGATTCAGGGAGCGCATCACACCTTGAGGCCCCGTCGAGACTTTTTTTCGGCAGGGCCTTCAGGGTATGTGTCAACATGAGGGAACCCCCCACCCCCCCCCCCCCCGAAACTAAAAAATCAAACTGATATTCCTTCATGTTCCTTTTTTTCCCTTCAAACCACGAAAATTAAATCTGTGGGGTATGTACCCTCCAGAAACACACACCCCTGAAATGACTCACCTAACATCGCACGTCGAAACCCTTCGAAACGGTTTTGGGGCCTGATATCGGTTCGGTCGGATTCTGGTTCCAAGGTTATCTTTAGCTGCTGCTTTGGATTGGTTTGGGGACTTGAGACCCTGGAGTTAATGTGACTTGCCTCCAAACCAGGCTCATCACCGGGCTCCAAGCCACCAATTGAGCAGCGGCCAAAAGCTCATGTTGCCTCTACCGAAATGATGATAGAGGTAGTATATGAATCAAAATATACGCCGTACTAAGTACTATAAACCGTATTCAACCAGGTAGTCGAACCACTTGCTAACATGGTCAATGGGAGCTATTCGGAAAATCCTCCTTTGAACGAGGCCTTCGGAGAGTCAAATCCAAGGCACTGGCACCCAAACACTTCACCAAGAGCTGCAAAGACCCCAAGACGCTGGTCATGGTCACCTCACGAAAGCAGCACAAAAACTCCAGGGGTACACAAAAACAGGTTTATGAGTGCTCCTCCAAAAGTTAGTCTTCTGCAAAACATAACATAACTTTGGAGGAGACCCCCAAAAAGACCTGGCATTCAAATGGTCTACCCAAAGCCCAAAAAAGACATCATCAACGGGTGCACTAGGTGGGCGTGTGTCTTCAAATACGGATTTCGACTCAAACATGGCCTTTAATATCCTTTTGGTTTCCATACCGAGCCCAAGGGCACACCCTGTGGAGACCAATGAACATGGCCCATGTCAAGATCATTTCCGAGTCACCCCCTCGGGCAATGGATCCCTGAGGAAACCTTTCCATTGACCGATGGCCATAAGGGCCAATCACTTGAAGGTCGCATGGCATGCTTGCTGTCTCTTTCCCGTTTCGTGATGCCGTTTCGTGGGATTGTAATCATGGTTGCCAAAAGCTTGCCAAAGGGCACCTATGTGCCTAACTTGTGGAAGATGGTTGCCAAACCCAACCATCTGGCTATGAATTTGAATGGGGAACCACCTGCAAAGAGGTGGACACGAATCCCCGGCTAAACGATGCGTCAACATTCTTGGCCAGCACGAAGGGTTATGCTCCCAAAAAATGGTGTGAATTGAAGGGGGGCCCTTTGGTGAAAGAAGAGTTTTCACCATCGTGAAAGGACTGGTCGCTGTGCGCTTGGGAGACTCATGTGATTCAGTTTTCCCACAGGCACTATCTCTTCATCACTTGACTCACACACTTTCCTGTCTCTTGATGAGTCTCTTTCATCTCTTTCTTTATCTGGATCTTATTTTTTCATATTTCCATCTCTTTATTATGTATTATCTTCTTTTGTTGTATTTTGTTGATTTTACAATTTTATTATTAGCATATTATTTTTATATATTCATTCATTTATTCTTTATTTATATCTTCATATTTGTTTTATATCTTTACTTTACTATTCCTTCCCTTTTACCTGCTGTATTGGTGTGTCTTTCGTCAGGAACTGCAGGTTTCCTTTCTTGGTTTCCCTTTAAAACCACTGCCAACTCCCAAAAAACAACACTCTCATGAGACTCCTCGCTGAGGACCTCGCCATGCGAATCGCCCTGGCCAGCTTGCCGATGCGCAGCAGCCGGAAGAGGATGGGATTCACCGGCAAGGCCACGGCCTGCGATCCGGTCTCCACTGAAACGAGCGATCCACTTCTCGGGGGCTAAAAGAGAAACGGAAATGAGGGAAGCAAGGGATCGGTCCGTTGAAATCGATCCACATTTGCAAGGTTTTCCGAAAAGGGAAACGGAGGAAACCCTGTTTCTCCAGGAGACCTGCAGGTAACCAATCCCAGGGATTTCCCACCAATAGAAAAGCCAAGAGAGCAATGAATCGAAGGGTTACCTGCTATAGCGGCGAAACGGATTCTTGGGAGACCCCGTTTGCAAGGTGATAATTATCACCTTTGGGGGGGAAACCGGGGGGGGGAAACAAAAACAAACCCCCCCACACAAAAAAAATAACAAAAAACAAAACAAAGAAACAAACAAACAAACAAACAAACAATGGGGAAACCAACCAGATCCAGTCAGATCCGGTCGGATCCAGTCTTTGCAAGTGAGTGGCATAGAGGATGGTGACTTCCACCAGAGCCGTCATGCTCACCGCCACGTCCACGTAATTGGCGCAGACCTTCCAGAAATGCCCGCGCAGGACCTGGGCGGGATCACGGATCTTTGCTTTTTCAGCTGCTGAGTCAGGAAACAAATAGAATCTATCCCCTGTAAAAGATGCCAAGAGCATACCCTAGGGTCCAAAGACCCTATTATTTCAGGTCTTTCGGGGTCTAAAGCCCTCACATGTAAGGTATTGGGACCCTGGGATAGGTGACTCTTTGGACAAATCGATGGGCCTTACTGGAAAATGGCACACAAACCATCTAAACCAGTGGAACCCATCGATTTGTGTTACCAGACTAAGCGATCAGAAGGCACCTAAGGCCAAGAGACCACGATCCGGACCACCACATCCAGGACAAAAAAGCAGGTAAAGAGGAAGTCACCAGCCTCAATCACAGCTTCCCAGGATGGGATATCCTGCGCGAGTGAATCCACCAACGGCGCCGACCAATTTTTGAGGGGGCTCGGCGGCCTGTGAACGCCCAGGCGTCCTTTTGAAAACATAGATAGCACTGGAAGATGAGTAGACTTCCAAAAAAAGAAACCAGCTCTAACTCTAACCCTCTTGGGTAATCTTTTTACGTGGATGTGGGTTGCCTCATTTGGGACCAATTGTTCTCATCTCCCGCCTCATCGGAGGCAGGCGCTTCCGTGAAGAAGTTGATCTGATACCCAGAGAGGGATCCATAGAACTGGAGCTCGAAGGCCATCCACAGGACGTTGAGGATCAAAATCAAGGCGATGCACATCTCGTAGCGGCTGGAGGTAAGCCACACCTTCAGCTTCTCGCCTTTGATCCAATTCCAAACTCTACAAAAAAACATCTCAACGTCCAAGTATATGGATGGGAACCGCCAAGTCACTACAGCTGAGGCCGGCATATTTGTCCCACCATGCTTTTGACCCTTCCTTGTCAAACTCAGACCCAGCTTGCATCATCTTCTGGATCTCAGCATCTCTGAACAACTTCTTCCTCAGATGCCAAGTGGCCAAGGGGGAAAAAAAAGGTACCCGTTTTTGGTTGGTCGAGTTTAAACGCCAAAAAGTCGATAAAAAAGGGGGAACCCTTCCCCAAAAAAGGAACGAACAAAACAACAACAACAACAAAAACGGGCCCCCGCCACTGGGCAATGGAGCTTCACTTCTTGGTCGTTGTCGAAAGCGTTCAGAATCGCGTCGGCGCTCATCTTCTTGGCGGCCTTCGCATGGACCCAGCATTCTAGGGGTTGATTCCAATTCCATTCTTTCAACCATCCTTCTATTCAAAGAAACCGATCGCTGTTTCCCCGTGGTTTTTGGGTGTTTTTTTCTAGAAAGATTCGGATGCCTGAAAAGAATGGACATGCTTTTTCAGGGATTTGAGTGGTTTCTTAGAAAGATTCGGATGCCTGGAACTGGACATGGAAGGTAGCCCTAGATTGGCATGGCTCGGAGCTTTCTGGGAGGGTTCCAAAGGCTCCGGGCGCGGCGCTTGGGTCGGGGTACCTTCTTATCAGACATCAAGCTCCTCAGGGACCAGCAGATAGACCATAGACCATCAACTCCATTCAATTCTTCGATCTGCTTTTCTTTCTTTTGTGAAGAATTGAACATGCAGGGACCAGCAGATTGTACACCCTGTGTTCTGCTCGGGAATCACGATCGCTTCTGGCGACTGTCGGCATGCCCGTCTTTTATGAACCTCTTTTTTTCTTCCCTAAGGGACCGAATCACAAAACCTGGCTTTGTCTCAGAATATAGGCTCCGACCCACAAAACATGCGCAGTTTTCTTCCTGTTGCTTTGCTTGAAAGCCTGATAAAAGACCCACCCCAATTTGTCTCGGGAAGCAACAAGGGTCTTGGGAATGCTTCAGAAGGGGATCGATCCCCTTTCGTGAAAGGGGACGCTGATAAAACATGTGCAGGTTCTTCCCGGCTTTAGAGGAGACACCAGAGTTCACGTGCTCAAACCACCTGGAAAACAAAGGGGTTCTCGGAAAAGTGTTCCCAAGCTTTCCCCAAAATGCATTAAATTGTGGGTTAAAAGTTGGTGAAAATGACAAAGGGTTCAAAGCTTAGCCCCCCCGGGCCCTTTTGGGCTCAAAACAAGAATATGATGTTGCCATTTGAAGTCCTATTGGGCCAAGAAGGCAAGAATGGGCCATATGACCCACGGAATCACAGACTTCGGGAGACTGTCCACAACCATAACCTCCGTTGCTCAAAGCCGAGCTTTTGACCTTTTGGGTTTCCCTGTCGGGTTGTGTTGGGCAAACTTGGTTGGCCCCTTACTTTAGCATTGGTGGGACTCTGGGAGAACAAAAGGGACACCTTGAATCGAGGTGAGTTTACTAATCGCGCATTGACATTCCCATCACCGCCAGAACGCATACCAGGCATCCTCCCACCGATTAACCGATTAACGTGGGAGGGTACCAGGCCTGCCACTTTCACACTTCTTGCGCCAACAATAGGAATTAGACCCCTGCTGCCCAAGCAAAGGGCCTACATTAGCTCGTCCCGAGCCCAACCGGAAGCGCCCGTCACAAATGCTGGGTGGACACGAGCGACGCGCAACAACTCACTCCCGTGCCGAGTGGACTGGGCGGCAAAAGCAAGTCCGGTCTTCCTACTGTGGATGGACGAAATCCTGCACCACCTCAGAAATCCTGGTTGCTGCTGATTCCCCTGCAAAATCCAACAGCCATGGCTCACCATGGTTTCAAGGTGCTGCATTTCGTCCATCCAGAGTATTGACTCAGGTGAATCTCAACCCGCCTCCCTGCCAGTGGGGGACTCCCTGTGGCTTGAGGCGCTATCCGAGGACTGCGAGCGGTCCCGGAAGCCCACACTCTTCCCATTCCCGGACATCCCCTTCGGACTCAGCTGCACCTGGCCATTCAGATTCTCTTCTATGGCTGTGGGTCAAAAATGCGTACCCATTTTGGGAACCCTGGCAAATGGAACCAAGGACGAAAACCTGCGGTCCCCTGGTAATTTCAAATTTGACCCATACCCATATGGAATCCCGCCCAGCGCTACAAGGAGTAGTTGAGGGCCCCTTGCGCGGTCCTTGGGGTTCCTCGAGGATCCTTGCCTTCGGAAGCCTGTGTTCAGGGGGTGGTTTGCTCACCCGGGCCCCCTACAAGAACGGGGGAACAGGAATCCTCCAGACCATCCAGGCCACCAATTAAGGTTGCACCTGAATGTTCGACACCTTGTTCAAACGAATACTAAATATTCACCCCCTGGAACCCAGCTTTCAGCTGTTGGAAAAGCAGGTCTAAACCACACATGGCGCGCACAAAAAAAACAGACACGACCCGTCTGGGCAGGAGAAATGATTTCAAGTTCTGAGAAGAACCTGGAACCTGAAATTATGTAAAAATTGGGGTTTCCCAATCATGTCCTATGACTGGACCTTAATGGACAATTCCGGTTTGGTTGAAACGACTGCTGTATATAAGTTCCAGGAACCACTACTTGGCAAACGTTTCCCATGATTATTTGGGCGGCCGAACGGAATATTGATCCACCCCCATGTTCCAGTGCCCAGGAAAACTCGCCTGTTTCCGATGTTTCTTGGACCCTGCCTGCGGCTCGCTTGCGGCCACCTGCGGTAGGTGGAAGGTCAAAGCTAAGGCATAAGATTCATTTAAGGCAGATGCGGTCTTTCCCAAAGGAATGGGTCCCAAAGTCGAAAATGGCGACGGCTTCGAATCAATTTAGTTTTCCCTGTAAATGCAAGGAAAGTCCACCATTTTGAAAAACTCCATTGGACACTTGGACGTCCTTCCCAAACTCATCTTCTGTTGCATCGCAATTCTGGGGTTAGCTTCTGAGCTATTGCCTTCCGGAGCCCGCCGAAGGGGACTCATAGCCCGGGACAAAGGTTTGGCTGTGAGTCAAAAATGCGTACCCATTTTGGGAACCCTGGCAAATGGAACCAAAGACTAAAACATGCGGTCCCCTGGTGGTTTGATTTTGACCCATACCCTGCTGACGTCTCAGTTGTTTCACACGCACGGCAGCGGCGACAACAAGTTACCAATAATTTTGCCAACCTGAAGTGCCGCCGTTCCGGACGAAAAGCCACATCGAAGAAAGAACGACCCTTGAAGTCTTACAGTCCGCCAACTGAGAGGATCATCTTTGCGTTTCATGCATTGAGACTTTGCGGTGCTCAAAGTTCCCCCCCGTTTGTAGAAGGAAACAACAACATCCGCAGGGTTTCGGGTCTATAGGTTCGAACCCAAATCCCAACACCATTGCGAACGTATTGAACAATGTAAATGTAACTTTGCTTAACACGGACTCCTTTCTTAATGTCAATGAATCTTGTGCTTGTTCCAATTCAGCCAGCACCTGGTTTTTGAGGGATACACTTGAACCCACGTCAAGGCTTCCTGATCTCCTGCAACAAGGGGTGTCTGTCCGGCCACCACTTCCTTTTGTTGAGCATGTTTACTTTCAAAAGGCATGACACACCCTTCCAAGCGACTGGGTTTTTCCGAAGCCAAAGGCCTTCTCGTCGGTGAACCTCTTTTCCACGTTGTGTTCGGTCTGCGACACCTCCAGCAAATGCTGCGCCACTAGGCGGTTTACAAGCAGTTGGAAGGTCTGCGACATCTGTGCGGTGATCGGGTAGGGCGGCTCGTCCCGGAAGTCGGGCATTTTGGGCTGCACGATGCCCACGTCTGACATGCGGCTGAAATCCATGTTGAGAGGAAAGGGCTTGAGCCCAAAGTTCAAGCTGCAAAAGGCGATCTCGCGCAAAAGCTCTCCTTAGCTTCAGGTCCCAGTTACCTTCAGGGAGCCAACCATGATCCTGCTAGTTTTCAAAGGGTGGGAAACCCCTTGGTTACCTACTGGGAAAGGGAATGGCTAGGGAAGTGAGACAATCTCTCCTCCCAATCGGCTCGGTCGCTCCGTCGCTCGCTTCCCTGCTCGATTCCAGTCCAGCGTTCGAAGCGCAAAGGCGCCAAGGTCTCTGGTTTAACCAGGCCCCAAAGAGGTCCCAGGCCTTACTTACTCCCAAGAACATAAACCCGTTTGAAAGGGGTCCAATCTAAAAGGAGGCTCAATCCTTCAACATCATGTTGGCATATTTAAGTCTTCAGGGGAGTAGGTATTGGCTGGCCGATCGAATTCATTCTTCGTGCTGAAACCATCGCATGCCTTGGGATCTTGTACTTCGCACCCATCAGATGTTCGATGGCGACCTGTTTGGGTCTTGACCATACTGTACGAGAAAATTCAAGTCAACTTCTGCACATTCCGAGCAGACAAATCGCACGAGACAACATTATGTCGAACGATATTCCGCGATTCCTCGGGTGACCCGTTGAATGGGTTCTATACCAATTAATTAATTCGCTTTTGGAGCCAGAATGACATGGTCAAATTCACCCGAGCTGAACGGCTGGGGAAAAATCTCACGTTCGAACGAAATATCTCACGGTTCAACGGCTGAATTTCGAGGCGACTCAGTCGATGATGCTCAGGTTGGGAGAGCTTGGGGAGCGGGGCGATCCATGCTCCGAAGCCGCCTTGTTGCTGGTGGCCTTCATGTGCCGAAACCTCACCGCTCGGATTCAGCAAAACGCCCAGGCTACGAACTAAAGACATCTGGAAATCCGATCATGTCTTCCATTTAGCCAACCTCAATTGCAACATATAGTTCCACGCTTCAGGTGTTTGCGGTAAAGGGATCCATGGGCAACTTGTAGTGTTGCACCCCTTTGAAAGGAACGTTCACTATGGGCGATGTCGCAGACCCCCCAGAGACGTTGCTAGAGTTTGCCCAGAAAAAAAGAAGAAACGAGTCATACTCGAGACCTGTAGATAGAGTCTACAGGACTTGAGATTCGGACATGTACATGCATCTACATTTTGATGGCTCAACTCACATGCATGCATTGGTCAAGCTCCGCGACTTGCAGTCCCAAGTGCAAGTGTCTTAATTGGGTGCGTCTTTTGCTGGGGCGTCACCCTTCTGTTGGGGGGGATTACTATTTCGTGGGGGGGCTTAATGCTTGGTCGGGGGGTTCCCTTTCGTTGCTTTAAACTTTAAAGCATGTTCCATATTTCCCGTCCCGAACACCGAGCCTAGCTGCCTAGCTGCCTAGCTGGCTCCAAGTATGGCTAGTCGGTAGCTTTCCTACTCAAGCCATGTCTCCGGGGCACTGTGACTGGTTGAAGACCTCCTGCACACTTGCGTTGATGGCCGGGTGGGAGGGGCGCAAGGCGTTGAAGACTTCCTCAAAGAGCACCTGTCGTCGCTCATTGGGATCCGGGGGTACGCAAGCCTTGACAACGGGCGCAAATCCTTGTGAAGCATCCCTTTGGATCCGCACCAAGGCGGCATCAGTGCATCAGCGTGAAATGGTAACTTCGAGCCAACCGCAAAGTTCAAGGATTTTGAAGCAAACTGGTGGAATCATCCCAAAAAGGACACCCACGGTATTGATTTGCAAGCGGAGATAACGTATGCACAAACAGTCTCTATGGAAAAAGGCGGAGACATTCACAGAATCCGGGGTATGCGTCAAAATGCGATGTCCAAGCCAAATTGCTGCTTCCCGTTTGGCTTCCTGAACTTCACAACTACCCGGATCTTCAAACTCCGGGAAATTTCTGGGTGCTTTAGGAGACCCCCACGATTTACCGAATTCCAGTGGTTTAACTACAATTTGGGCAAAAACACATACGAATTGCGTCGTTTCCAGTCGCACGTTGGCTACACAAAGTAAATACACCTCGCAGCACTTGCCAACGTGCCAGTGAACACCATGGGATGCCTTGGTCATCAAAACTATGATTGTTTCTGATTTGCGGGAGTTTGCAGGTTTTTGCGGGAGATTTGCGGAAATTTGCTGGCGTTTTGTGGTCAAAATGGGTACGCTTTTTCTGCACCGCACAACTTTGGACCGCAGTTGAATGTTTTGACAAACTTGCGGGCTGCATTAAGTCGTTTACCCCTGCAAAGCTTCCTTTAATCTGTCAAAGGCCGCGAGCAGTGTTAGGAGTTTCAGGTTTTGCGGCAAAAAGTACTACGATTTCCCGAATATCCAGTCAAAGGCGGAAACTACGTTTTTTCAGGAGGACGAAGGTCCAGGTAAAAAGGTTACCAACTGTCAAAAACAACGACACTACTCAATTGCGCAACGCACCTACAAATAAAAGGCGATCACCTTTTGGGACCTCGAAAAGTCGAAGAAAATAGCAAAAGGTCATTTCAGGTTGCCCAGTGATTCCATGGTACAGGCAGGTAACCAAGCGGTTACCTAGCCTGTAAAAGGACAAAAGGAACATTGCTGGTTGCCTTTTGTGGCGAAAATAATGGCCTGTCATCTTCAGGTCATGTCCTGGTCTCTCCTGTGTGAAACCTGCGAAGTGTGACATAGGCAACAAAACATGGGAGGCAGCCGCAAAATTCTGAGTGGCGAAACGGACAACCCCCGGTATTAACATGGTCTACCCAGGACCATACTTCAAGAATTAAGAAGGCGGCCACAGCTATTTATAGTTGGGATTGTCTCTTGCTAACCTTCATCTACCCGGGTTTTGAGCATTTGGCTCACCCGCCTTTACCAAATGGAATCACTGGGTCAGGCTTTACCTGGATTGCCGGGAGGGCTTTGAACTGCCCACCTCGAGCTTGGTCTCCAAGCGCCAGATGTCCAGTGTCTTGGCACGGCCCCGCAAGCGTGAGGCACCCTCCACAAATTCCATGAGCCTGGCGTGGGACACCTTTATTTGCTTGCAGTAGTGACAGATTCCCTTGAAAACCCCAGAGGGGAAAATAACACATATTCTTAACCAAATTGAAGGACAGGGTCCTGGCGGCATTTTTGGAAGACGCCCCAAATTGCTGGGGTTTCCCCTGTGGTCCTGCCAAACAAGGGTACCGAGCCTCAACCAAAATCGGGCCCCCCATGGATTGTTTCTAGCCAAACATGGAAAGGCTGGGTTTTAAGGACATCCTCCTCACTACTAGAAGCTTTATGGTGGCGCAAAGGGAACGCTTACACATAGTTGTGAACATTATTCGACATGTTCACGTTCCAGGACCCAGGCGGATGATTTGTACATCTTTCACACGGATATCAAGCAGGTGGGTATTCATGACGGGCTCCACTTCCGCTTCCACGGCCAAGAGGCGTGATCTCGCCATTTCCGTTGTCCAGAAACTCGAACAGGCTCAACAAATCGTGATACTCCAGTTCCTGGATCACACCGGCCCCGCCCCGGCAAACCCCGGCACCCAAGGTATACGACTTCGTGGGTCAAGGGCAGCAGTCTCATTCTCTGGCCTTTTCTCTGGGCCCCTCTCAACAAAAATCCAGATCAACCTTACCCCAGCATGGTGGCTTCCCTATATATGGTCTGCCATGGTCCGTTGCATGCCCGATTTGCATTGGCCCAGTTGCCAGCTGACTCATCCAAAATGAGAGCTTTGGCGACCTAGGCTGACGAGGACGATGCGAACCGCGCCAAAAACAACGAAAGGCCCGGCAACATCCCAAAGCTCCCGAGGTTTCTCCTTCCAACAGCAGGGGCAACCAAAAGGTAATGTATAAAACTCCAACAAAAGAAAAAAAGTGGGCGTCTTTTCGTTGTGCTGTACTACAGTATCTCCTGGCTGGTGTTGAGTTTGGAAACCAACAGGAAAACGCCTCTTTGGGTCCTTGAGACGAACCCAAACTTCCATTTGCTTAAGCCCCCCTGGGAAAAATAAAAACATATTTCCAGTAGTAATAGATTCCCGTTAAAACCAACAAGGGAAAATATAAAATATTCTTAAGCAAATTGAAGCAACGGCCCAGTTCACTCCAGGCAACTGGACCAGCTTGGAAAACTCCTCCAGGCTGATGGCGCCATCTCCAGACTGGTCAATCGACTGAAAGAGCTTCTTAACCTTCTTGAGATACCTTACGTGGACCCCCACAAGGCAACCAGGCGTTTGACGTTACCTGGTGCTACATGACTGATCCCCACAATTAGGCAACCAGGATTTTTGTTCCCTGGTGTTACATGATGGTTTCCCCTCCTACTAGCATACCATCCCAGGCGCGGCAAGCCATTCTAGCAGGTAACCCTTCGATCCTCATGTTCCCCTTTGGTTTGTGTTGGCTATCTGGCCCGGCGAAATGGAATCACTGGGTTAGCCGCCAATAGGCTAAGCTACCGGGTTGCATTGGGACACCCGGGTTTCCAGGGTAAAGCCTCGAACAAGTCTTCGGGACTCCGGGGTTCATACGGCAACAAATAGGTGGTTTCTTGTTTGCCTTCCTGCAGAAAAGGATGTCCTGGTATGTTGGGGGGGTAGAGATGGTCAAGGGACCTTTGTTGAGAAATACCCCGACGGCCAGGGCTGGTGGCACCTTGGAAAACAAAACAGCTATTCCGCTACCTTGTCTATGAGGAAACCACTAGGCTGAAACGCGAAGGTCCTCGTATGTTTTGAAGGTCTGGCGCCACCAAACGCCATCCGCGCGGTGAAAAACGGTCCGCGTCTCAACTTAAATGCTTTGTTCGTTGCTGCTGAGGGTGTCCTTCGGGTTCTGTTGGGTGGGAAACCCCTTGGTTGTTTGCCTTGGCCAGGTAAACGGAATCACTGGATACTAAGTCCCAATGAACTAAGGGCGACATTGGTTGGACTCCCCCATCTAACATCTGCACCTCAGAAGCGTCGAACATTAGGGCCATTGTGCTACCGTTTTAGAGGGAAACCAACAGGAAGAAAACCAACATGTTGAGAAGCCTCCATAGTCTGGTAAAAATAGCAACCCCCTATTCCTATGATTGAAGTCGATGGCAGTACTTTACCGTTTCACATATCGGCATGTCCAAGAAGCGCACGTGAAACCGATCTCCAAAGTAGCTGCGTAAAAACTGCCAATGCAGATGGTTTCAAAATCCACAAACCGCACTAGTGCCAGGAGCCACCTGCTGTGGAAATCGGCCACACAAATCGGGTGTGTCATTAAAACGGCCGCCAACCCGGTGGTTTCCTTTTGCTTTCCCTTTGACCTGAGAACGGCTTCGTCCCTCCCCTGGAAGATAAAGCAAGTCCAGTGATAGATTGTCTCTACAACCAACAGAAGAAAAAGAAAGCAACAACTCTTAAGTCTCAAGCAAATGGAAGGCACCCTCCAAAACGCATCAACGAACCCCTCGGAGCGCAAGGCGCATGGCAGCATCCCGTTCCTTCTGCTTAAACGCGAGCTCCTCATCAGAGCTTGCGGTCTTCATGGTCTGCTGAACGAAGACTGCATTTACCTGGAGCCCCGCTTTTCCAACCCCAAACCGGTTGGTTGAGCTCCATTTGGCCCGTCTTTTGTTGTGGGTACCCTTTGTGGGGTTGGTTTCTATTGGGAAACCCAAAGGAAACCCGTTGCGCCATTCTCGGGGCCCCGGACTGCTACCCTGATGACTAAAACAAGCCCTCCATCCAAAGGGCCAGTGCATGCAGGCTGCCCCTAGGATTTGCGGATATGAATGTGTTTGTCTAGAAGAGCGCCCAATGGTGTGCAGGTTTCTATCTAAGTTTAAGTGCACACGTACGTACAGATATGACTCAAAAGTCAGAAACCACCCCAAGCCCCTAGTTTGTAGACAACATGTGCAGCCCCCTAAATCCTCCATTTTGAGCCACATTCGTGTGTGTGTGTGTGCACTTTTGGTGAAATCCTGCTCTCATTCCTTGGGCGTACTGGAATATATCCCTTCTGTTTGTTTCTCTTTTCTTTGTTGGGGGGGAGGGGGGCGGAACCCTTGTGGCCATTTGCAGGCGCCAAAGAAAGCAAGCCATTTGTAGGCTCGACGGGGCTGAGCCGAATCGCCCCAAGACAGCATGTCTTTCTCAGGTTTCGAAACAAAGCAGGTTGGAACAATCAGCAAACGCACCCCTTCGCAAATTTGTATGGACCCCAAAAAGGAGTGTTTTTTGGAATTGGGTTCCAGTGTCAATCTACGGACAAGTACTGCAAATGACTAACCGAACCTACTAGGATGACTTTAAACTGCAGACTCTTCGGTGTCATAGGGGTTGACGCCCGTCGAACCAAAAAGGGTGGCGTTCTGTTTGGTTTCCTAACCTACCTACCCTTGAAGGGTAGACAAATGACCCACGACTACATGGTCACACTCAAGGGAGTTCCCAGGAAGTAGTCCTAGAAACTCTATTTTCCACAGCCCAGTGATTTCATTTCGCCGGGTCAGATAACCAAAGGCTGTCCCACCCTTTAAAACCCTAGGGGAACATGAGGATCGAAGGGTTACCCGCTAAAATGCAAGCCATGCCTGGAATGCTATTCTAGTAGGTAACCACAAGAAAGCATCACGTAACACCAACAAACTTCTCGGTTGCTGAATCCTGGGTGCTCGACACTTTTGCAGAATACCCTTTTGTAGCCTCCATGGGTCTTTAGCCATTTCATGGCCTCTGACCCTCGCCCACACTTTTAATGGACGTTGTAGAGTGGTAGCTGGAAGTGTTGGGCTCCACCATGGTATTCAAGCGATCCGATGCGGATGAGTCGCAACGTTGAGCACGGCGAAGCCCAGAATGCACCTGGCAAAAGGAATCCCTGACGGGTTCCTTGAGATTGGGGGGTGGCTTGCAGCTGCCTTTTCAGGTTGTAGAAGGAAAACACACCACACATGGTCATTTGTGGGGTCTCCCCCCATAAGACTAATATGTTCTACAGCATAGACCACATCTTTGTGATGTATGTTCTTTGTTTGGCGAGGCTCAGTGACAAAGCATTTTCGAGTTCGTTTAGAAGACCGTAACCAGGAAATATGTAAACCCCATCCCAAAAAAGGGTACCCTCAAAAAAACACAATGTCTACAGCCTCATGCCCCAAAGGGATCAAAGGCTCTTTGGAGGAAGAGGCCCGTTCGCGGGCCAATCGGAAGGCCGGCTGAGTGTTCAGCGCTTTCCAACGAAGGTGCCTGTAGACGAGGAAAAACGCTGAGAACCATTCGCTAAAGTGCTCGACGAGCACTCTGCTAGGCGGACCCCAATTGGCAAACATAATTTCCTCACTTGCGCGGAGGAGGAAGCCGAACCCTACCGAAAGCAGCATAAAAGGTTATAAGCTTCTGGGGCATGACAAAACATGGACCAACAAAAATGGAAAATAATGTGGCCATGGGTCAAAATCCCGTACCCCCAGTGAACATGCCAATCCCCACTAAAATAGGTTCTAAAATGGGTGGTGCACCTACCCCAAAATGGTACCATTGGTTTTGACCCACAGCCAAATAGGAAAATAAAGTGGCAACAAGGTCGACTCGATTTGGGCAGAGCTTCGAACATGGTGAGGATTGTCCTCGTGAAAGTGCCGTAGTAGCGGAATACCTGCTCCTCAGTGGCCATTCAATGATCTCACTTGCCCAGTTTGGACGTAGAAATACAAGGTTAACCTTTTAGAGTCTGTACTCAAAGTGGACCAAACAGGGAACACCAAAAGGTTCCAAGGTTGATTGGCTTGAACGACTGAGAGCGGGCTATAACACGTGGGTTCCTTTCCGATGCAAGCTGGAAGCCATTGCATATCCCGTTTCCCCCCCCATTTCTCGGTTGCCAGTTTCGGGTCCCGAAACCATCTGAACCTCCCAGCTTGAAAAGCTAGCTGCAAGTAGCCGTGAGTCGCCAAGAAGTATTTCTCTCAACCAGTGACTTCGTGGATCTAAGGCAAGCCTCTCTAGTAATGTTGACCCCGCATTAGTATGTAGCCCCCCCCCCTTGAAGGTCGGAAGGTTTTGGGGGGGCATTTCTGAGTTATGAATTGCTTAGTATTGGGGGGTGTCACCCGGGCCGGACTAATAGGGGGGGATTTTTAATACGGGGTCAACAATACGGGGAAAAACGCCTTTTGGATTTCTATTTGGTGGGAAACTCCTTGGAATCTCCTACCTTTACCCAACGGAAATCACCGGGTCAGGGACCCCTGGCCAATCACAAGCTATGGGGTCGCCCAGGCTCTGGGATGGTTAGCGGCTTGGGTTGAAAGGAAGATTGGGTTCCTGCTCGTGGGGGAAACAAACCCTGGGCGTATTTGTATTGCTCCCGACCTCTAGCACTTACCCATACGAGAACCGATACCCTTAGAATGGCTGCTTTCCTCTCGACTTCCCTCGAAATGCAATGAAAACGGTACCCTCACAAAACAAACGCCCAAGCCGCACGCCAAGGAGCACGCACTTCCATTTCATAGCTGGGATCAGTCAGAAACTCCCTGCAGAGGGTGCTCAGAATGAGACCGGCCACGCACTGGACAAAGGTCAGCAAGCAGAAACTCCAGAACAGCATGTTGCCTCGGCCGACTCGGAACCGGACGCGAGAAAGCACTGTTTCGCGGATTGGGAGGTGAGTGGATTGGGCTTTTGGCTTTTGGCGGCTTTTTGGCGGTTTCCCGCCTTTGGGTGCCGGTAAAAGGACCGCCAACAGGAGACCAACCATTTGGGGTCCTCCTGCGCAATCTTTCTGAGTTCCCGGGTGGCTTGGCCACGAGTCGGTCAATGCTCTTTGCAGGGGGATCTTGACCATGGTGTTCCATGGTCAGGTTTGGAGTGCTGGGGAAGTCAAACCTTGTCTCCAAACTGCCAATCCCCGGGTTCCGCCTTCACTTCTTGAAGCAGATTGCGCCATGGTTCAAACTCCTGTAGGCCAAAGTCACGGTTCCCTGCATACTGAAGCCTGTTGTTTGACCAATTCAAGGACCCTGGCCAAAGCAGGTACCCTTCCCGACTTTTAAATGGTAGAGTCTCTGGCAGATAAATTTCTATTGAAAGGGAAGGAACCCCTAGGTTTCCCCCCTAAAACATCATCCGTGTTAGAGGCAACTCGCCTTAGGGCCCAAAAGGTGAATGCGTAAAGCCACCTTTTGGGAACAAACACGTCACACCTGTTGAAGCCCCCTGTTGGTTGGTTTTACCGGGGAACCAAAGGGAATACCGAAGCCACTTGGGGAGTCCAAACCCTGAAAAAACAACAAGTCCGCACAACTCTCTGCCATTTCCGTGGCTCAAGAGGCTGCTGGCAGCCAAGCACTTCACCAGCAGCTGGAGCGATGCTAGCACACTGGTCATCGTAACCTAAGAAAGCTCTCTCGAAACGATCGGAGCGCAAGGTGGCGAAATGGGAAAGCCGACGGTGAGCCTATCGATTGAGATGCTTCTGAATATTTCGGTGGAGGAATTCGAACTTGAGGAACCGGCTCTCTATGAGGCTCCCTCCAAAAGGAATGCGTGATCCTATCGGGGCTGTTGGTCAGCCCCGAAGATCGGCCTGGGAGTCCACCTGACTTCAGTTGGCTCTTTGGGGTCTCAGCGGAGTCTCTCCTTATGGGGCAGGTACCGGAGTCCCGGACCTCAGTCAGTCTAAACCAACATATGGGTTCCCACGACGATCTGGTTGGATTCCCCAACGCTAAAGACAAATCAACCAACTGAAATCCACGATTTCCCACCCTCCTTTTGCAACCTGGTTGGAAGATGCCCGTTCAAAACATAGAACCTGCACAGGAACCGGCTCCATGAGTTTCCTGGAAGACCATTTTACAATTCAGGGAACCTCGGGGGACTCCGCGCAGGTTCCATCTTTGGACTTTTTGGGAGGCTACCAATTCCCACACCTTCCATATTGCTTAAGTCCCCTGGAAGCAATAATCAAATTTCCAGTAGTGATGGATTCATTTAAAACCCGGGGAAAACACATATTCATAACCAATAGGGGAATGACACACATTCATTTGAGAAAAATGGAAGGAATCTTTGGAGGACCATTTTCCCCGCGGTGCAGGTTTTCCAGCTTTGGCTTTGCTTTGGGAGGCGACCAATTCCCACATTCCAAACCACCCACTCCGAGTCTAGATCCTCCAGTAGAGAGGTTAGAACAAGGGTACCCTTTTTTCTGTAGCCAATTTTAGTAGGGGAACTCTCCGCCAAAAAAGGGGAGAGAAGCGCACTACTGGGGGACCTGGGAATCAAACAAAATTCCATCGGGCAGCCATGCGGAAGGCCCTGGCCAGCTTGCCGATCCGCAGCAGGCGGAACAAGATGGGGCTCACCGGCAAGTCCACCGCGTGATACCTGTGGAGTGGGTACTTAGCTGTCCCCTTCCATGTTTGAGGCTAGTTTGAGGCAGGTGCTTCTTTTGGGGCACTTTTGAGGTGGTTCCCTATTTATAGCATGGATGTGACTCGTTGGAGTTGGTAACCTTCGGGTTGGTTAGGGAACCCGAAAGGGACAACCAAGCCAACCTTGATTCGTTTGCAAGTTGATCAGATCAAGTCTGGTGAAAACGCGCTAATGAACAAAGACTTGTTTTGTGCTAGGCAAAGTGATGGAAATCCCTCCCCCCCCCTTCAGGTATCACAGTGGTTAAACAGGGAACCTTCTGCTGGGTAGAATGGAGACCCAACATCGTTTCTTTACCTTGGGGATGCCAAACCCAAAGGATCCCACGCAAACCACTATAGTTGGAAACCATCGATTTCCTTTTGGGTTTTAAAGGCTGGCTCCCTTGGTTACTAACCCGCCACTGGAAAAGGGTGAGAAGTCGAAGAATGGGCCCAGGTGAGACTCTGAAAGAGCCTGGCCATGTCACAAGGTGCTCTCAATGAGTGACGTGATGCTCACCCCGAGATCCACATAGTTCATGCACACCCGCAGGAATCCTGAGAGCGAAACACGGGAAAGAGACCGGATCCCTCAAAGGATACCAGCTGAGGTGAGGTAAAACGTCACTTTAGCATTAACCATATTTTAAAGGACGGTTGAACTGCAAATGGTCTCGGAATCCTGTAAGGATTCTTGCCAAACTCAGTGACCTGCGAAATGGAGGTTCCATCAGGGAGCCGGGAGCCGGGAGCCCTCCTGGTTGAAACCCGTGATGTTCCCCTAGAAAATGACACCCAATCTATCTGTTGATGTCCTTGTGGTTTCGCCTTGCCATCCAGGTCGGGGGTGGGCCAAGTGCAGAGTTGGGTGGGCCAAGGGGAGAGTTGCGTTTCCGCAGGTGGTTCCGCAGGGTTCTGCGAGGCTCTGGGGCGCTTGGGCTACGGCTTCGCAGGGTTCCCACCCGCGAGGGTTGCCGCGCGGTGTTGGGGATATCACCTGAGCTTCTTTTTGTGTGTGTGTTTTGTTCTTTTTGTGTGTGTGTGTGTCTGTGTGTGTGTGTGTGTTTGTGTCTCTGTGTGTCTCTGTGTGTCTCTGTGTGTGTGTCTGTCTGTCTGTCTGTCTGTCTGTCTGTCTGTCTGTCTGTCTGTCTGTCTGTCTGTCTGTCTGTCTGTCTGTCTGTCTGTCTGTCTGTCTGTCTGTCTGTCTGTCTGTCTGTCTGTCTGTCTGTCTGTCTGTCTGTCTGTCTGTCTGTCTGTCTGTCTGTCTGTCTGTCTGTCTGTCTGTCTGTCTGTCTGTGTGTGTGTTTTGCGGAGACCCCTTAGCTTTCAACTGGAACTACCTCAAACATCGAGCCATATCCATCCAACCCCAAGAATCAAACAAGTCTTCAAACTCGTCCGCCAAACAAATCGCGCGAACACATATCATGCTGTGCCATCCCTGCGATGCTGTCCAAAGAAAGCGCGCTCCGTATCTCTCGCCGTGGCGCGTAAACGAAGCACCACCACGCGCGTCACCACGTCTGTCACAAAGAAGACAGTGAAGATCAAATCGCCATTTCGGAAGGCCTGCGGTCGGTTGACCACTTCGTACCAGATCGTGTGCAGTCGAAAAGGGGGCCCAGTGCATCCCAGGCTCTTCGCCACTACAGTGGGTAACCAGCATGGTTTTCTCTGGTTTTCACAGGGTGGTTCCCTTAGTTACCTGCTAAACAAGTCAGTGGATCCGCTGGGTTAGGCTGCGAAGATGAACAGGTAAAAAAACTTAAGGTTGAAAGTGAGTGGGATAAAGTCTTGCCCAATGGGTCAACACGTTTGTTTTACTTCCGGATTGGCAAAAAGTCGTGCCACTGTTTGCCACTAAACTGATCCATCCAACAAGTGGCATGGAGTCCGGAACGGAACTGGGATTTCGCATTCTCCTTCCGCGTCAAAAGGCTACAACTGAACAACTTAACCTTGGGGGTGCTCCAAACAGAATTGCGAGATGCCATATTTAGCCTACCCTCTAGGGTCCCTCAGGAGACACCTGGCAGCCTCGATGTAGAAACCCTGGAGGCAGGGGTAACAGCGCTTTTTGTTTAAACAGAAAACAATGACTTGGCCGACATGTATCACTTTTCTGGAACCCTGTATGGGTCTTCTACTTTTGAGTTGGTGCCCCTTTCAGTTTGCCTTTTTGCCGCCGACAGGAAAACCACTCCTTGCCCTAAGAAGAGATGAGCCATGCACAGCCATCTTGGAAGCAAAGGTATGTCCTCCAGTAGAGAGGCTAGAATAAGGGCACCAACTTTTTTTCTGTAGTCTATTTTAGTAGGGGAACCCTCCCAACCAAAAAAGGGGAAAGAAGGGCACTGCTCAAAAACCTAGCTTCAAAGGTAGCCACCCCCCACCCCGAAGCCCAGGCGCCGTCTCCCAGGCTGGCACATCCTGTGGGTCCACGAGGGCCGTTTCGGCCAGGCCGAGGTGAAGCGCTGTGACGGAGCCATAGATCTGGAGCTCCAGAGCCATCCACAGCCTCAGGCCGCAGGCCGCAGGCCCGCAAAAACACCGGGAAACACGGGCCCTTTGGACCTTTTGGCATGGGATTTATGGGGAGACCCATGGAAGAATTTGAGACACATCCCAGGGTTTACGGGGAAACCAAGGGATTGGAGTCCAACCAATTTGAAGGGGCAAACACTTCTCCTTTTCCAGCACCCGGACTCGGTAATAAATTTCCTACCTCTCGCACCAGCAACAAAACGGCTGCGTCCATTTTTGCGTCCATTTTATTGAGGTACGCCTATTTTGCATCCTAATTAAAGGACAACTGCCTGCCATTTTGAGGGTCGCCTAAAAGACACGCTCAACAGGTGATCACCTTTTAAAGGACCTGAAACCCATAAGGGGGGAAACCAAACGGTCCAAAGGTTGAAATTGGCTTTGGCGCAACCGAGCTGCACGTTGAGGCACAGCACAAAGGCGATCCTCACGTTGAGGCGTGCGAGTCCCTTTCCATGTCCGTACCACTGGCCCTCCAAACGGGTGATGCTTTTGCCTAAAAAAGTGATCCTCAGAGCCCAGTTCGCTTCGAACTGTTTCCTTTCCAAAAAACCCAAAAAAAAAAAAGGAAAAGGGGAAGCCCTCAAGAAATCCGGGATGGATTCAATTTGGGGGCCCTTAGCTGGACATCATTTATAGCTGGGCAGTCATGAGGTCGTTTTTCATAGCCCGTTTTTGGTGTTGCCAAACGAAAAACCATCCGGAGGGCCCGGGTCATCCATTTCGCTGGGCAAACATGGGAGGTAGTCTTACTAGTCTTCCCCTGGGCCCGTTTGACGATGTTCTCCAGCTTTTTCGCACCATGAGAAAATGAGAAAAGGTGTCCAGTAGTGAAATCGATTCCCTGAAAACCAATTAAAACCAACAAGGGAACATTATATATATATATGTATTGTATATATTAAAGAAGAACATTGAGGTGGTCCAGCCATTTTTGCTATCAGAGTCACCAGCGGTAGGTTTAAAATAACCAACCCCATTGTCTGAGTTGGACTCCAGAAACAGCTCCACCTCAGAGTTTGACAACTCCTCAGCTGAGTGCTGCCGTGTACAAACAAAATGTGCTTCCGTGTGGCTTCCTGAAACGTCCACGTCAAACGTTGTTACATAGTCCCTTTACTGATGTGTTTTGTGTTGTGTTGAGGATTTGATGTGTCTGTTTTGTGTTTTGTTGAGAAACGTTCAACGTAGGAAACTCAGTTTGGCCCAAAAGGTGTTGAAACCAAACAAAAGGGGCCGTTTTCTGGGCAACTTGGGTGGTCCCAACCGTCTTGATCATGTTTCCGACCATTTCCCTTCGGACAATGATCCTCAAGCTTTCAGGGAACCAGTTTGTATATTTGAACCAGACGGTTTCACATTCGGTCAAGCAAGAAGCAAAACGCAGATGTGCCACGGGCAATAGGCGTGTGCAATTGTGAAAACTCTGTATGAAAACCCACCGCAAAGTGTTTGCATGTGTGTGTGTGCCGCAACACATCTTTTGTGCGGTCATGGTTATCTTTTTGGAAACCCTCACAGTGGTCGCGTAGTTAGCAAGGAGTTGATGACAGTCCACGCAACTCCCAAGCAACAGCAAGCGTTGACCATGAACAGGGTGTGTGAGCCTAAGGCTGATATAATGACATTGGATTTTTGTCTATTGCAATTTGGTCAGTGTGCCCAATGTCATCCCCTTTGCTCGCAAACATCTGGGATTCTCCAATTTCCTCCAGGTTCCCTTGTAGACATTAGGCACATCCTCAACAATTGATATGGGTATGTGTTTTTAGGATTCCGACCCCCTAAAATCATGTTTTCCCTTTTTGGTATCCCGAACAAAACGGGCCCAAACAAGGGTACCGACTCCCACCAAAAAACAGACCATATCTGTGCTTTCTTGGGATTCGGACCCGCCCCAGAATGAATGGTGAATGGTGGTTTTCGCATGTTGTCCTTTTGGTTTCCCTTTGAAACAACCAAAAAAAAGGTATCCTCACACCCATATGGTCTCTCACTTGTGTGATTCTGACCGAGTGGCAAGGCTTCGTAGGTCGTGGACTCTAGGAAGAAACGAAGCTGCCCCACGCAATCCAGGCCTTTATTCGTCGCCCTGGTCATGAAGGATATATCCTCGGATCGATTTGTCTTTCTTTGATGGTGCACCTTTTTGGTGGTTCTAGGAGGAATCTACAAGGACTACCACCATTTTAGGGGGGTCCACAAAAAAAGACAGACCCTTTGAGTTTAAGTTTAAAGGGATGGCAAAAGGACGGCCAAGCAACTGGGTGCCAATTCAGAAAAACTACTTACCTCAAAGACGGGCCAGGTTGAAAACGAGAGAATCCACTGGTCGCAACTGAAAAGAGGGTACAAAGCCCAACTCAAAAGGCAGCACCTTTTTTGCCTCGAAATCAGGCCCTTCGTATTTCTGCTGTGCATTGAACATCTTGGCGTCCCGAGCTTTTCAGGAAAGGTCCAAAGCTGCAACTCCTTCTTTTCTGAAAAAAGAGAAAGCCATCCGTGCCCCCCCCCCCCAAGAAAAAAAAAAAGTGAGCGACTGACAAAAAGAAGAAGCCAGCCGTGCCCCCCCCCCAAACAAAAACAGGGCAAAACAAAAAAAGCTCGTGAGCGACTCTCCGAGCGAACGGCGGCCGAAAGGACTGAGCATCTCTTCGGCCCAAGGCCAAGGCCACGTTGATCCTGGCCTGGACCTTGGACGTCAGCCGCACGTTGTCCTCGAAACTCTTCAGGCCGTCAGAGTCCTTCTCCCAGCGATCGAGGATCTCACTCGCCTCACTCGCAGCCCGAGTGGCGCGGTGGTTCACTTGTCTTTGACTTGCTTTTCTGGGATGGAATCGAAACCGGTGCACCCATGGACAAAACACATGGAGAACACATGTGCTTTGATTCGATGTGAGTTTCTGCTTCACAAAAGAGAGACACTAGTTACTGTTTTCAAGTATCCCTTTTTGGTTCTTGTTTAAATAATCTCCTTTTGGCTCCTCAAACAGCAATTCGGCCAGCCGCCTGGATTTCTCGGAGTTGAAGCGTCCGCTCACCCATGAGCGTGGACAACCGCAGCTTGGGATTGCCAACGTCCGCCTCGCCACCGCCACACCTTGATTTGGATGTGTCTTGAAAGAACCCCCCTTAAGGTGGTTTGAAAGGAAAACCCAAAGAACAACCGCATGTGTTGTATATGTTCTAGTGTATGTAAGCTAACCAAACGGCACCACACAAGCAAGCGATAACTCTTTTATCCAAGCAATGTGTTGGTGCCAGGGACTCATCTTCCCCTGTCAGATGTCTACGGCTGGGTGGGCCCCATGGGCCACCCACCACAAACTCTCAAAAACTGAAGAACGGGTGTGCAGACTGATAGCGCCCGCCCCTGGGCCGGGGCCCGGGGCACCCAGGCCACAGGGGGGTCTGCCACCAGGGGAAGTGTCAAGAGACGGCAAGGTGACGCCCCGTGGGACGCTGTGCACCGAACCCTCCAGCTGTAATACCAACCACGTAGAAAGGTGTATACGGTCAAAGCCGTTATAGCCGAACCCGTGTAAACGTTGTAAGGGAGAAGGAAGAATAGTTACAACAGTGGTCCTGACAAATGCAGCGCAAGCGAAGTGTTTTCCGCTCTCAATGCCGATCACGTGTGAACGCAGCTACACATAAGATCTTGAACCTCAATCGTGTCTTGAGCCAAATGGCAATCAATGGAACTTGGTAAACAACACAAACACGGACCTCAGAACTGCTTCCCAATTTAGGCACGGGGCCTAGAGGGTTTTAACATCCCCCATTTGGGTCGCATTGTTCATCATGCGGTCCAAACACCACAAAACGTTCCACTGGCCACGGCTTCAGCTACGAAACTGTGTGGTGCACTCTTTTACTTGATATCGCTACACCGTTCATTCATTGTGAAACATGCCGGGTCCGATCGATAAAAAGAAACATGCATCCGCAGATCAGCACGCCCTCATATGCAGGTGTATACAATACACTATTGTCACGTCATTTGACCACCATTGAACATCCCAGCTGCCGCATTTGCGCATCGCGCAGCCGTCATCCATAGGAAATGGGTTGGCCATAAAAGTTCAACGGAGGCGCCTGCTCGTAAGCAATCTGCATATCACCGGCAAAGAAAACATCGGTGAGCAATCAATGCAAATCATAGCCATTCCAGATACCATGAATAATATATATATATAATGAAAAAGAAATCATCCATGAGGTAATAGTTCCATCCATGAATATCCGGAATGTCATAGCCGTCGGAATATGTAAACGTATACATATCCATTCATCTTGGACGCATGAAATCATATCATGATGTAAAGTCGTTCCATCGCAATGACGTTGATGAGACGCAAGCAACGGATGGGGACTAACCCACATCGTGCCGCAATCAACATCTGCATTACGCATACCTGTCCCCAATGGACAGCCGGTGAGTGCGTCGACGGAACTCCTCGTCCAAATTCTTTTGGGCTTCTCGCGCCCGGACACACTTCTTGTTATGATCCTCTGGTATCCAATGCCCTTTTCGGAGGCACCAATCCAGCAGAGGTGTGTCGCATTTATTCGGGTCGATGGCCGCAATAATGGCGCTCACATTGACCGAATAACCATATTTGCCAAGGTTCAGGCCATCCCTCACGAATGATATATACTTACAGTTGAAAGCCAGTGAAAAGCATCTGAAAATAATATCACCCACCGGGTGCACGCGGTCCTTGACCAGGAGCTTCATTTCGTCCTTGGTGACGTCGAGGATTCTCGCTGCAATCCACAGCTTGTAGAATGTGTATAATCCCTCGCACTTGCACACCATCATACGAATGTAATCTTCACGCTCCTCAGCCGACCGGAAGACCCTTGTCCGAACATTCTCGGATTGAGAAATCTTCAGTACCGTTGATGGTAAAAGGATCCCTTCCTGATCGTGCTCAGTCATGTTGGGGTACCTCTTGAAGTCGTTGTGGTAAGGGCAGCCCGGCCTCCCCTCGAGTCCGGCATTCAACGTTCTCTCCTCACCACCCTCGAACATCCCCCACATCTTGGACATCTGCAGTGCGATGAATCCCGCCATGTATTGAGCCTCGCATGGCTCATCAAGGCAAATCGCCATCCGCTGGGAATTTATGATATCCCGTGATGCCAAATCAGTGTCGCGGTAATGCCAACCGCCATCTTCCTCTTCGGACACGTAGCCGGATGTATATCCTTGTGTGTCCATGTCGTCTTCTTCAGGAACTTCCTCCGCTTCGTCATCATCCTCCTGTGCTGCCGCATCATGGTTGGCTTCTTCTTGTGCGCGCCTGGCATCTCCCGAGACATTGGGCTTTTGATTGTCCTCATCGTCGTCGGAATTGATGTTGATGTAGAACCTCCCGGTGGAGATCAGTTGCGCTTCACATTCCAGGCATAAGCAGAAGCATGTGGGGATTGCGGTCGCACATGACGGACATATTCGGCATCTCAGTCCTTCCCATGTCTCGTCGTTCAGGATGACGACTTTGCTGACCTCGTCCCTGACCTCGTTGGTCTGCGCATCGAACTCATCCATCTTGTTGTCTCGATAAAGTTCGCATGCACGATCGACCATGTCTTTGATGTAGTGCAGATTATCGGCACCTGCCTCGGTCTCGGGCATCCTCTCGTTGATCTTTGCGACGTTCTGGAGGAACATCGCAGCCGACTCTTGGGATGAGTTGACGAAACCAGGACAGATCTCGTTCTCCACACATTTCGAGTACGCTCTCTTTATGTCGCCGTACTCCAGGCGTTTCCCTCCGTTGCTTTTGCCAATCCAAATGGACTTGACCTCATAGAACGGGATCACGTCAAAGGCCATGAATGTCCCATTTGCCGCGACTCCAGCTCCATACCGCGCGAGGGTTGCACTGGGAATGTAGATGATCGCAATCGGATCCCCCGTCCTTACGTTTCGTAGCGTCACCTTCGTCGCTACGTTCATCTCATCCCATGGAGCAAATGCCCCGAAGTGCAGTGCTAGCCTGTTTCCGCCATCGATTCCGCCGGGGACTAACCCACAGCGTACGATGCTTGGCAGGTTTTCCACATACGTCACATGGAATGCTCCTCCGAGAGAATCACCCATGTTCACGGAATACCTATTTGCCAGTGCGGATGAGCTCATGAATCCAAAATCACTGTGACCAGTTGTGACTCGGATGCACCAAGGCCTGCACCATCCATCGCATCTGTTGAACATCCTGTCGATGTCATCCCGATCCAGGCCAGCCTTGGTCATCTCCTCCCTGGCCGCCCTCATGTCATTCGGGTTCATGATGCTTGGAAACCTTGCTGCCAGGACCTGAAATCTCGATTTCTTATGTCCGGACTCCTGCCACTTGATCACCTCCATGATGCCCATGTATCGTTTTGCTCTCGAAGTTGTAGGTGGGAATATGTCGCAATTTCGGTCGTCAATGACCGCGTCGATGTCGACCCATCCACCTTCATCACATCTGAAAACACTTCCTCGGCAATTGCCGATTTTGTGCCGAAGGACTCTGCATAGGTTGTGAGATAGCTGGTTTGCTTGATCTTTCGTAGCAAATACCGAGCGATCATCGCCAATCCTGCATAGTGGAGCACCGTCAAAAGGAGCAACGCAGAAATTGACGCTCTTGCCAAGCTGCATCACATCCACCTGCTCAAGGTTGGCACCTTTGGGAAAGTAACTGGGGTCAACACTAGACGCATACGCCCATGGCATATGCACGTTACTCACGTCGCCATACTTCGGGATGTAGCATGGAATGGTGTCACATCCTCGCTCCAGCGTCGTCTTGAACGTTCTGTTGTCCCCGCACGGATTGTGGGTGAGGTCCACGCCACCGCATTGTAGCTCTCCTCCCTCAGCCGTGTCAGCCATCTCCACCAGGTTGATGGTATAGCTATACATTTCAATTGTTTCTTTCCCTGCTTGTCCTCCTCTCTTGCGTTCCTTGGACGTTGATGAGGACGGCTCTCCCGTATCCCCCATTTCCTCATCTGAGGAAACAGGATCACTGCTGAGTAGCTCACGGATCTTCTTCATCGCCTTCTCATTCCCAGCAGCCTCCTCATAGTCCTTGCAGTCGCCGTCGTGGGCCAGGTTCGCGCACTTCATACAAATTCCCATCTCTCCCATGCACTTCTCCATTGAGACCAGGAATCCGAGTGCTGCTCTCCGCCCATCAATCACTCGCTGCTTCTTTTCTTCCTTCTCAGCGTTGGGCTGAGAGCTCCGGCTCGGGTCTGGTGCTTGACCAAGACCGTCACCTTCGCCCTCCGTTGCCTTTCTCTTGGATCCTTGGGTGGCAGGCTCAGTCATCAGGGATCGCGGATGTCTGGGCTTGATCTTGTTCATGATGTCCAGCACTTCTTTCGTGGGCGCCCCGAGTTGGGCGGAAGGCTTATTCCGCTTTCGGTTCTGGCCCGTCGTGTGGCTCACGTTTCCGGCGAGGTGTCGTACGATTGACTGCTCGAACTCCCTCTTGATCTTCCACACATCCTTCCACAGCGGGAGTTCGTGCTGAAAGTACGACATCACCTCAAAGAATCCCAATATCATCTCGACGACGTCCCCCAAGGATTCCTCGTTCGAAGTCTGTCCCAGGAGGTCATACATCGTCCCCTGATCGAGCACGCTCTTGATCCAGGATGAATAGGCCACGTTGCCAAGATCCTTGTCTTATCATAAAGATGGAGGTCCTCTCCTCAACCCCCTCGGAGTTCTTGCATGTGATCACATCCCGGGATGCACACAATTGCTTCCCGTGACCGTTGTTGTAGAACTGTGCTGCCTGATCCATTGTCATGCTCACGTGGGATAGCTCCTTCTTCAGCTTGGAATATGCGAGTTCCCGTATAATCGTGATCATGGCCTGAACGTTGTTGACGTCCACCATGAGGTTTTGAAGATCAGGGATTGTAACCACGCATTCCGCGAAAAGTCGCGTGTACAGCTTCCTCCCCTCAGTTGATCTCACAATACCGTTCGTGTCCGCATTCCAGTTCGCGCAACAGTTCACGCAAGAAGTGGGATTGAATTTTGAGTTTGACCCGAGCACCTTGGACTTGTTCACCTGCATCTCTCTC